GCATATTTAAGGAACCCCTTGCACCCTTGCCCCTTTGTCCCAGTGGAAACTCCAGTCTTGTGGTTACAACTTGGTGAGTCCTTTTGCTGGATCATTGCTGTGTTTCAGATGCTGCTTTTTGGAGCATAGGGGTCAGTGATAATGACCAGATAGTGCTGCTGTATATTACAGCCAGTACATGGATATACTGTATTTATTACAGCTAGAAGTTGTTTCTTGCCTAAGCAGATGTTTTATTGTTTTGTTAAAGAGTGGTAAAAGGATAGGTTGTGTGTGCTGAATAGTTTAAGGGCTGCTGCGGTATATAAGGGCAAGTCAGATGCCATCAAGACTTAGGGTGGAGGATATATGTGATGCTTGACTCGGAGAAGCAGGCAAACAACACTAGCTCAGGTTAGACTCAACATAAGGAAAATTATCAGTTCATTATTTTTTCTTAAAAAGGCTTCCTCACTGATGCTTTACTGTTTTTACTGTTTTTAGCACAAGTTAAAGAGCATTCTGAAAAAGGTCATTTCCCGCTTTTCTAGGTTATATTTAAATGTCGGGCTGTGTAGTATGGAAAGCAACAGATAAAGATTTTTTACAGATTTTTATGTAACTGTTATGTTACTTGAACTAAACTGATAATTAGACTAATTTACTGAACATAATAATTGGTAAAATATACCTTTAAATTCAAGTTTTATGTTTCTCAAAATCAAGTTTTTGTAACTTGGTCATATTCACAGCTACAGACAGCAGTCTCTAAGGTTTACAGGGTTGTGGCCTACTATAGGACATCTTAGACAGAATAGGACAGCGGTAAGACTCTTCAAAGAGGGGATGCTGGCACTTGGGATGCAGGCTCAGGCCTGAGAGCCTGGAAGGCTCCAAGCACATGGTCTCCATCCAAACAGAGGAGACTACTATGTGGCGACAGCTGAGAGGAGAGCCAGGCCTCCACTGCCACTTGTCAAAAGTCACACTGCCTCAGCTGTTAACTGGCTCTGGCTTAACGATGAGATACTGAGAAGGGGTTGTGGGGGCAGAGGGGGGTTTACAAGAGTCCAGAGGCTGAAAATAGACCCATGAGTGTGTGGTGGTGGTCCTGTTTTGGCTTTTCAAGCAGCTATAAGGCTCAGAGAGATTAGACTACTCCAAAGTGTCTTCATACTGAACATAGCGCTACATTATTTCATAGAATTGCACAACTTTGTTTCTTCGTGTGAACTTCTGCTTCTTTAAATGGAAATAATATGCATTTAAACATTTCTGTAAATATACCAACCTAATATTCTGATTAATTTCTATCTTTTGTGTTATATAGAAAGCCAGCCCAGTACAGACCAAACATGTGTGACGACGACGAGACCACCGCCTTGGTGTGCGACAACGGTTCTGGCCTGGTCAAGGCTGGGTTTGCCGGTGATGATGCTCCCCGTGCTGTCTTCCCATCCATTGTTGGACGTCCTCGTCACCAGGTTGGAATACGAGAAAGGCCCCAAGTTTCTGGGAGATTACATATTTGTTGCCCTGATGTTTTTAAGTCTTGAGCTTGAGCTTGTTTGTTTTATTCATTCTCAGGGTGTGATGGTAGGTATGGGTCAGAAGGACAGCTACGTGGGAGACGAGGCCCAGAGCAAGAGGGGTATCCTGACTCTGAAGTACCCAATCGAGCATGGCATCATCACCAACTGGGACGACATGGAGAAGGTGTGAAAGATATAAAGATGTGGGAAAACTGAAATGTTATTTTTGTCAACAAATAACATAATTCTTGTCCTGGATTTACAGATCTGGCACCACACCTTCTACAACGAGCTCCGTGTGGCCCCAGAGGAGCATCCCACCCTGCTGACAGAGGCCCCCCTCAATCCCAAAGCCAACAGAGAAAAGATGACCCAGATCATGTTTGAGACCTTCAACGTCCCAGCAATGTATGTGGCCATTCAGGCTGTGCTGTCCCTCTATGCCTCCGGCCGTACCACTGGTGAGCCCTCTTCTGTGCAATGTCGCATGTAAGTTAAACTATATCAATCTGTGCATATTTTCTTCTAACAAACTACTGCCTTCTCTGGACAGGTATTGTGCTGGACTCTGGTGATGGTGTGACCCACAATGTGCCCATCTATGAAGGTTATGCTCTGCCCCACGCCATCATGCGTCTGGATCTGGCTGGTCGAGACCTGACTGACTACCTGATGAAGATCCTGACTGAGCGTGGTTACTCTTTTGTTACCACTGGTAAGAAAATTACCAACTTTAGCCAAAAACAATCCCACAGAATTTTAATGAAAAATGTAAACAGTGATCTATTTGACCTTACCTACAGTTTCCAAATTCCTGAACAGGCAATGTGCATATACTGTGACCGTGCTGTCAAACGGAATTCTGAACGTTCTAGATATAAACATACTTGTCCTGGTTGACTGAACTGTGATATTTCCTCCATTTAGCTGAGCGTGAGATTGTGCGTGACATCAAGGAGAAACTGTGTTACGTGGCTCTGGACTTTGAGAATGAGATGGCCACAGCCGCATCGTCCTCCTCCCTGGAGAAGAGCTATGAACTGCCTGACGGTCAGGTCATCACCATCGGAAACGAGCGTTTCCGTTGCCCCGAGACCTTGTTCCAGCCTTCTTTTATTGGTCAGTTGATCCACCGCACATACACAGAAAGGCACAAAATTTATTTTGGTTTCATACCAATACCAGCAATAGTAGTACCTACTTAGGTGTATTGTTCTCATGGGACCTAATGTCCCATAAGAACAATAAAGCCATATATAGGCTGTGTATAAATATAATTCATAATACACTATACTGGAGTTCTGTATAGCCTCCCCTAATAGCCCTTTATACCTATAACGCTATTAATTCATAGACACTTATGAATCTTACTAAATGTGTATGTCTAGTAGCATTTATCTCCTGAGTTTCTTCTTGTTTTATTGTCTACATCTTAAATGTATTGCAACGACCACCAGTGTTAGCTGCACGAACACTTACCTCTTTACAACTTTTCCCCAGGTATGGAGTCTGCTGGCATTCATGAGACGGCCTACAACAGCATCATGAAGTGTGACATTGATATCCGTAAGGACCTGTATGCCAACAACGTGCTCTCTGGTGGTACCACCATGTACCCTGGTATTGCTGATCGTATGCAGAAAGAAATTACTGCCCTGGCTCCCAGCACAATGAAGATCAAAGTGAGTGCAAAGTTATTAAAATGTATTTTGTCAAAGAAGAAATAAGTAAGCCTTTTATTCAAATTTTGGCATGGTGTAAAATGTTCTAATATGTACTTCATTCCTGATTTTCCTATCCACTCCTTCCAGATCATTGCTCCCCCTGAGAGGAAATACTCCGTCTGGATCGGTGGCTCCATCCTGGCCTCTCTGTCCACCTTCCAGCAGATGTGGATCAGCAAGCAGGAGTACGATGAGGCTGGCCCCTCCATCGTCCACAGGAAGTGCTTCTAAATCTTCAGACATCACCAAAAATCTCAAAACCAACCACACCAGCTTTGCTTCTATTTCTGTATTTCTACTGTTCCTTTTGCTGTATATACATGTACTGTTGTAATAAATATAGTTCCTTTTATCAGTAATCCAGAGAGTTGGAGTCATGCTTTTTCCCCAAAGAATATCAAATATAATTCTGAAAAACAAATACAATACTTCAGACAAATAAATAGTGTGTTTGAAAAAATGGCAACACAAATATACAGTATACTCGAAAAAAGTGCACTTTTAGCAAAAGAGTGGTTACATCAACAATTTTAATGAAGACTAAATAAACTTTTAATTATTTTAACAAACTGCCCTTTTCAAGGCATTTTCAGTTTTCTATAGCTCAAAAGTTAAACTGCTTAAATAAACAATGATGGTCAACTACTATAGTTAAAGGGTTGAAAACTTCAGCAACACTATTCTGTGACTGCTTTCTTACCTTATAGACCCTGCAGTTAATAAAATGATAAACTAATGTATTTATTATTATCAATTAGTATCTAAATAACGCCAGTCTTACACACACTATAGACAGCAAGCTGGTTTTGATCAGTCTGTGGTTTACACAGAGTTTTATACATTTTGGTATGCAAGATAAAATAGTTGAAACACTGCTTTACCTTTTGTGCTATCAAAAAAAACCCAAAAATAAAAAAGCTTCTAATTGCAGCATACTTCAGAAAGATGATAGTGGGAGTTTGAACCCTTTAACGACAAACATAATGCTTTAGAATCACTTTTTTTGTTAGTTGCAGTCCCACAACCCACCAACTAAATAACATCTTGGCTACAACACCATCAGTATGCTGCTTCTGTTAAGTTACTGGCCTTTTAAGAGCCAAACCCACATTATGTAGTATAAGGTGGTATAATTTCCAGCAAAAGAAAATTCTGGGAATGAGGAATTTGTAGGCTACATCTGTGAATAATCATAAATTTCTTGCACAGCCACTGATGTCAGCGGTTCCAACATTTAGGCAGTAATTTTGTGGTGATGACTTTATCGGCCCCAGTGCTGGTACGTTTTCAGTGAAAATGCATTTAATCAGTTCTAGATTTGGGAGCTGGCACTCAAGTATGTTCAAACAAGTGCATTCACACTAGCACTTATTAGTATCACTGCGATCAATACTGAAAGATCTCAAACAGTATTTGGCAACAACTTTAGAGACAGACTTCTGCACTTTTCCAAATGTTTGTTGTACATGTGGGGAAATACTGCTGAAACACTGCTGAAATAAAGATGTTGTGAAACTGAAACACCCACTTCCGGAAAACAAGAATTACTGTAAAACCTTTTCAATAGTAATCTAAAGTGACCCACGTTTTACACCACACCTGAATGCATCACTTTTCCTTCAGCGCTCACTTCCTGTGTGGCAGGTGATACGGATTAGAATAATAAAGCCCACCTCCTTTACTCATTACCGAGTTTGCAGAGATTGTGGTACCACGGTGAAAGGCCGTTAATGTGCTTAGGTTTTGCTTTGCTTCCGGTCAAATCATGAAGCTTACAGACAGCAATGTCATTCGGTTCCACCTTCAAGTCCTTTATGGGATCTCTGTCAAGAGTCTTGAGAAGAAAAGGGAGAGACTGATGATCAGCGTTTCAAAGATCTTTGGTGTTCCTCTGGAAAATTTGCCCAGGTGTTACATTCCTGAATTTGGGCTTGTACCTTGGTGAGTGGAAAAGGGAAATCATTAAATGTAACCTGGGAGGAATACTTCTAAAGCTTTGCTTAATAATTGTGTCCCAGCTTTTTGGTGGACGCTTGTTCTTTCCTTCTGGAGCGTGGTGGGACTGTGGGCCTTTTCAGAAAACCAGGCTGTCTTGCTCGTATTAAGACACTCAGGGTAAGAGTCTCACTGTTTGTTTTTTTAAGTCTTAGTTCCACTTAGTTCTTAGTTCTGGGGGCAATAGTGCCATCTAGTGGTTTAAGTCACTTTACTGACCTGTCACCTACACTTCTACATTTGCAGTAGTTGCCGCATGTTTGTAGGGTACAAATATCCTTGGGCAAGATACTAACCCCATGTTTGCCTACTGGTGGTGGTCAGAGGGCCCGGTGGCGCCAGTGTCCGGCAGCCTCGCCTCTGTCAGTGTGCCCCAGGGCAGCTGTGGCTACAATGTAGCTTGCCATTGCCAGTGTGTGAATGTGTGTGTGAATGACTGAATGTAGTGTAAAGCGCTTTGGGGTCCATTTACCAAATGCAGTCAAATAAAATAGTTTTACGAATCCTCCAAAAAGGGTGTGTTTTTGTTGAAACTGTGAATGGGTGTTTCTAATGTTAATCATATCTATTAAATAGTTTAGTTATACCTAGACAAACTACTACAACAACACTACATGCAGATATACTCTTTTTTTGCTCTTGTTGTGTCTGGTTTAGGCCAAACTGAATCGAGGAGAGAGTTGTCTGTCCACTGCCCTCCCCTATGATGTGGCCACTCTGATCAAACAGTTTTCCAGGGAGCTGCCAGAGCCGCTGTTTCCCTCGGAGCTTCATGCAGCCCTGCTCAAAGCTCAGTCTCTGCCCAACCTACAGGACAGGATGGCAGCCCTCCAGCTGCTGTCCTGTCTCCTTCCTGCAAGAAACGCCTCCTGTCTGCATTACATGTTTGACTACTTAGCAAAAGTTTCCCAGAGGTATGAAAGGATTTTTTATTTTTTATTTATTTATTTATTTTTTTAATTAAACTTTAGCAGAAATTAGTCGCATACACAAAAAGTGCCGATTTAAAGTCCTTTTTGTCTAGGAAACAAGTGTTGCTGTCAAAGCTGGTTCTGCCCCAGGTTGTGTGCTTCAGATGGAAATAACACGTTCGTTCAGGAGACCTGATATTGTTTTTCTTCACTGTATGTACTGCTGTCAGATGCAGCGAGAACTTGATGACCAGCTCCAACCTGGCTATAGTCTTCGCTCCGTGTCTATTACCCCCGCCAAACACGACAGAGATGTCTGAAGGACGGCTCGAGCTCAGAGTTCATGTTCTGCGCACCTTCATTGAAAATCCTCATTTATTTGGTAAAAGACCAGTTATTTGATGTTGATAAACAAATTTCCAGTGGCTTTATATGCAATGCTTTATATGCAATGTTTTAATCTGTATGACAATAGGTGTGATTCCCAAAACTGTAATCGATAGTATGGAATATCTGATGAACTTCCATTTTGTGAAAGATGTTGGCTCCAAGAGTAGAAGTAAAAAGCGGCACAGTTTCAAAGGTAAAAAGACCACAGAAGTTACTAAGCAAATCACTCTGTTCAAATTATGTTTAACCAGTTTTTACTATTTGAGTTCTCGAGCTTAAATTTCTCAAACGCATGCAGGAATGCGCTCTGTAAAGACGGTGCCCTTGATTCAGGGAGGGTCAAAGCTCAGGCCACCAGAGCAGAGCCACGGGTCCACATCAGGAGACAGACCAACGCTGAGGAGAAGCCTTGGCTTGGATTCTTTCCCCAACATCCTTTTGTTCAGGACCTACATGCCTTCAGCAGGTAATTATATGGCGAAAGAATCAGACTGGAATGTGTGAGGATATTTTATTTGTGCAGTCTAATCTAAAAACCGTTTCTAGATCAAAGCTTCAGGCCTGCAGCAGCTTTGTTGGATGATGTCATTGCAGCTGAAAAAAAGTTAAACAAGATGCCACAAGATGGTCTAAAAAGGTAAACGGTAAAGGTTTATAAATTTAACTTCAGTGTTCACTCTAACATCAGTGACAAATTAGAGAGCTAAGGCTTAGAGTTGATGCTACTTGGTTTCAGCATTTGGCTTCAAGTAAAGCAAATGTTAACTGTAGAATAAACCATGGTGCTTATCGGCTTTGGCCAAATGCGCACTGTCTGCTGTGTATTTGTTCAATGTGCCTCTGTGCTTTACATATGGATCATCACCAGGTTCACCAGAGGTGTCGATGGCTCTGCTGCAGGAAAACTAAAGCTCACGCTTTGGAGAAGACGCTCGTCACTATAATTCATGCTTGTTTCCCTAAAGTCAAGACCTCTGATCAACCAGCAGGTTGACAAGAGTGGTTTAGGGGGGAAAAAAGCTATGTTTTATGATTTGTTTTAGTTTTTTGTTTTTTTTACTGTATTTATGTAACAAGAGACTGAACAATGTATGTACGGCTTTCCCATACATTATTCATTAAATAAAGATATACTTTTAGTCTCTCTCCTTTCCTAAAGTCAATTTTATTAAATTTTCTGTGCATTATAGCCGAACCCAGTTTTGATGAGTCCCATTTCCTTTCTTTATTGTTAAAAAGAGAGAAATTATTGTGAAATATAAAAACATGAAAAACAGAGTAGCCACTACTAAATGGGGGGAAAAATGCATTTGGGCTCGGATTTGTAGCGTCAGTGTAGAGCTCCCGAGGAGTAAATGGCACTTTGTTGCAGCCAATGGGAAAAGTGGATTTGCTGTTTCCTGGCAACTGCATCTGAACCGTGAAACGAGACGGATGCAAGGTTGTAAAATGTCCATGTATGAAGACATCAGAAATCAACTCTTCAAAACAAAACGAGACGGAAAATAAAACATTTTCACCAAACGCTGCCCATAAACGAATAATGCACAGAACACTGGTGAATCAACTTGGGACAGAGTGAATTTAGACGAAAATCTGTGTTTGGCTTTTTGTTCCTCCGCGTTTGTAAAGCTTTATTTTGAAGATCCGGAAATGTGCGTTTTCTTTGTGGACGACTTGATGGAGGTCTCCCTCAGCAGGCAGGGTTCTCCTTAAACGCAAACAAGGTAAGGGGAAAATGCAGAAATCTGATTTTTGATCCTTCGCGAGTCCTTTGTAACAACAATAAATAAAAATCTATGTAATTCCATGTTTATATTGAGTTTTATAAGTGAAGCCGTTTTTGGTTGATGGGGGGCTATTTATAGGCTTTTCACAACGGCCTTAATGGCTCTGTTTACAGAGTAAGTGGCGCATCAAAGATTTATTCATTTTACGGACCACACGCCTTGTTGTTGTTTTTGTTTGTTTGTTTTACCCACAATGACATTCAATTCAGGCGATTTTGTCGTATTATGAATCTTTTTTTATCCACAAATAATTGCGTACATGTTTATAACAGGAAAATCATCCGTGTTTGTACATGAATAAACATCTGTGGGCTACTGTGTGTTTGTGTTTTTCTCCCTGTAGATAACGAAAATGGGCTCGGCGGTGCGGTTATCGTTACTCAGCCTCCTGCTGTGCCTACAGCTCGGCAGAGCTCCAGCCCGCAGTCCCCGTACGGCTGACCAGGTGTCTGAGGCCGACATCCAGCGCCTCCTGCACGGTGTCATGGAGCAGCTGGGCATTGCTCGGCCCAGGGTGGAGTATCCTGCACACCAGGCTACCAACATTGTTGGGCCTCAGAGCATACAGGGTATGTTATAGAGATTTATGAAGGATTTTCTAGTTTAAGAATATTGGAAGCAGTATTCCCCACCACTTCATCTGTCTTAATGTGTTTTTTTGGTTTTTTTTAATTTAATTTAGTTAAATTTTTCAAATTTTCATCTTGTGGATAAAATCTAATAAAATCAAAACTTGAGGAAAACTTGAAATTTTCAGATAACCTGAAATATTGACTTATGGATGGGTAAAATGGGTAACAGATTTTCATATCCCCTTGAGACCAGAAAAATACTGAATGCTTAAACCCAACGGATATAAACATTAGGGTCATCATAGCTGGAAAAGTGGCAGGAGGGATCCTTGCAAGCCTAAAATTAAAAGTTTGTTTTATTTGCAGTTTTTCACCCCTTACAAATGAAGCCAAGTGGTTTAGTCCACACCATACTCTGCAGCTAATTTATTCTATCAAAGTGGTAGCTAATGGACAAGAAGGAAGAAGTGGAGAGGGAGAGGACACGCACTCAGTGAGCTGTTAACAAAAAGAGAGACGAGTCTATGAATGGTTTAGCTATCAGTAGTTGTTTAAGACAGTAAAGTGGTGTCAGATGTGACTCTGTGTCTATGAAATAACCCACCACAACTTAGCACGATTAAAAAACAATCTGCGAAACCATCAGTCTTTTCTGTCTGATGACATTAAAAGAACACTAACAAAAAATGGCCATGTTTTCCCCACCAGGTGGTGCCCATGAGGGACTGCAGCATCTAGGCCCCTATGGAAACATCCCCAACATTGTGGCAGAGCTCACAGGGGACAATGTTCCCAAAGATTTCACTGATGACCACAGCTACCCAGACCCACCAAACCCCTGTCCCCTGGGAAAGACGGGTAGGAATTCTTCCCCTGTGCACAGTATTTTTAAAAACACACTCATTTCTGCAGAATCAACACAGGCCTTTTATGGGGCTAATGGAAAATGTTGCTATTAATGCTGTTTTTAAGAATATGCATAGTTTTTCCATCTTCTTTTTGGCCTTTAAGGAAGTAATGACATAAATAAGTGCATTAATTACTTTCTGATTCACTGCTAGCCTTTTCCAGAAAAACACATGGCTTGCCTAATGAACAGAAAAAGTGACTCCCTCTCTGCTACCTATTTATTGCATACACAGCAGCAGATGGATGTTTGGAAAATGCTCCTGACACAGCTGAGTTCAGCAGAGAGTTTCAAAAACACCAGCACCTGTTTGACCCAGAACATGATTACCCTGCCCTGGCAAAGTGGGTGAGTACAAAACAGGACCTCAGGAATCGATTAATTTAATTATAGACTAATTACTTGGTTTATTTTGATTTATTGATTTTAATTTATTCTACTGCCCAGAGTCTCAGATTATTTGATAGCCAGAAGAAGTCCAGAACACAGAATGATTTACCTCATAATGAAATGAAAGAGAGTAAAGCAACAAAGTATTAATACTGCATAAATATTTTTCAGCAGGAGATCAAATAAATGTGCATTTGGAACACCAGAGTCGTCATGATCAGGAGCAAATCACAACAACAGTTGTCTCAAAGTGTTTTATATTATAAGGTCAAGACGGTACAACAATACAGAGAAACCCCTCGAGGTTTTCAATCAATCATTAATCGATCGCAATCCACATCTCCACAGGCCAGGTTGGATGCATTAAAATCAAACTACCATAAAAATGAGAAGTTATTCATTTCTTTGTAAGGTGCAAACTTGCAAAATCAAATATTTTCCCAGTTTTAGTTTTGGTAGATACTACAGACAGTTGTGTTAAAATAACAAAGATTGGAAATAATGGAAAGTCCTCTTGATTGAATCATCACTTGGCATTTCTTTGTGCACAGCTGGAATTCTCAGTCAGCTTTTCCCATATTGCTTCACATATTTGGGTGTTATTCACTATTAACCACATGGGCCACTTTAAGGTAAAGTACAGACTACATATTGCCAACTGCATCATCTTACCTGCCAAACATGGCATTTGTATTTGGACCATATTTGCTTTTTTACCATTTGAGGCTCATGTCAATTTTCCAAGGTCAGAAAAGAGCCATCAGTGTTAGCTGTTTGCCAAAAGAGGCTTATATAAGCCATTTTTTGTCATCGGAGATGGCAACATTGCAACAGTACTCATACTTGTGGATTCTGGCGTTCTGCTGCTTTTCTAACCGCAGAAACAAAAAGTCAAAACTTCTGTTATTTGAAAGATCAGATAAAAGTTTCTTGTAATTAGCATGGATCCATTTCCCAGTTTGTCCTCTGATATGTCTGGTCTGAGGAAGTTACCCACTGAGAACACTGTTTTTATTCCCTAAAAGGAGCATTCATACAATTTGTTGAGCGTAACAAATCGACTAGCTGTAAGACAATGAATACATGATTTTAGATCTGAAATCTGCTTTTTTATTCTTTTGTTTTCAGAACAAGGAACTTTTGTACCAAAAACTGAAGGGTGGACCAAAGAGAAGAAAACGGGTATACTATTTCTTGGTTGTCTTTTTGCTTTTCCTGTGTGGGATTGTGTCTGAGAAATCACAAAACTGAGCACTCTGCACTGAGTTTAACCCCTGGTGGGAGTTAAGCCAAGAGTCACACTTTGAATTTCTGTTGAATTTAATCAGATGACATGCAACTCATAGACATGTTTATAAGTTTGTGTACAAACAGTTTTATGCTTGTGTCCACAGAGTGTCAACCCATATTTATTGGGCCAGAGGTTGGACAATGTCGTTGCCAAAAAATCAGTTCCTCATTTCTCAGAGGAAGAGGAGGAAGACGGACCTTCTGTCCCCGCTGCCCGCAAATCCACAACCTAAACTCCTGCAATTCCCACTGCAATATTACAACATACTGTCAGATAAAAGGTTTCAGTAATTTAAGCATTTTGGTTAACAGTCAGTGGGTCTTTGTGGGTGTTTTGTAAATGCTTTGTTTGATTGTATTGCAAAAACATGGGATCTGTCACCCTGAAACAAAATTTCAAGTTGTCTTTTGGTTAAAAACAAATGTTATTTCTTGATCTCAGAGCTTTACAAACAGCAATTACAATGGACCTTGTTCTTTTCTTTTTTTTTTAAAGATTGATAACTCTGAATTTTCTGGGTTAAGCTATTTTTGGTCGGTAGTTTGAAATCTTGCCTTGGCAATAAAATAGGTTTTCCCTGAAACAACTCTGTCTCTTAGCAGAAATGCTCACAAGTGAGATATAGGAATGAAAAAAGATCAGCCTGCCATGATATCTGTCATACTGTATTTATTAAAACACTGAAGATCTGGGCTCTTTATAGGGGGAAAAGGAAATCTCAGTTCATTTATACCAACTGTTTGCTTCTTTTCTTATTTTTAAGAGATGTAACACACTACCACATTGCCAGAGAATTAACCCTAAATCAACCCCAAAATAATAGAATATATGCTGTTAAATACTGATCTGACAGTGTACAATATATCCCTCTATCATAACCATAACAATACTTTGTATAAATATATATTGATCTGAACGAATGTTATATCAAAGTTTTTCTTGGATGTACAGAGATTGGTTTATTAATACAAATTCATTTTTGTATGTGACAAATTACTTTGGTGTCTTGTGTAAGAAGTGTATTTCTATTTCCAATCAAATACTTGCAAGTAATTCTGGTAAAAGTCTTACTTTGCCATTCAAAGGATGATGGTGAAATACTTCACTAAAGCATGTTCAGTATTTATTCACTGGGTTGCTTAATCTTGTCTAAATGGTTGTGTTCTGTTTTGTTCTGTTAAATCAAATAAACGTTTTATCTGCATCAACAAAGTTTGGAAGAGGATTTTGATTTGCATTCACAGACAGGCAGGATGGAGAGGATATGGGTTTGGGGGCGTGTTCTGGAGAAACTCAAAATTGGATATCTCCTCACTGTGTAATCCATAAAACCACAACTGAGGACGGCGGACCTCTAGAAGACACGCATGCTGACTGGATAATTGTTTTCTCGCTAGGAGTTTTTAAAAAAAACAAACCAAAAAAACAGGTAACTCCACTTAACAAATATTGGTTCTGAAATGTGTATAATATATATAACTTGTGTATAAAAATATCCACTGCTTGCTTCTGTGGTGCTTTATGTGTGCGTAAAAGTTGTGCGTAAATTCCTTTCCATCGAGGACTTAACTTTTGTTCCGTTTTCCTTCAGATTCAACGATGCAGACACATTCAGTGCAGAGCTTTGCAGTCGTTTTGGCACTGCTACTCACCCCGCTGAAGAGTACGAAAGCTCAGAGCTTTCAAAGCGCGTTTCCACAGCCAAACAAACACAGCCCGAATGAATCGTCGACGTGTGTACAGCCCCCTCTTATTGGATTAATTTCTCGCGCAACGGGGCCAGTAACCTCAACATACGAAGTGCCGGAGTCCAGCCAGGAAGCGCTGCACGTCACAGAGCGTAGATACCTGCGGCTGGACTGGTGTAAGACACAGCCGCTCAAGCAGACCATAGAGGAGGAGGGCTGCCTTCGCCGCACCATCATTAACAGGTTTTGCTACGGACAGTGCAACTCCTTTTACATCCCGCGGAACAAGTACCAGGACGGAAACGCCTTTCGCTCCTGTTCGGCCTGCAAACCCAAAGCCTTCAGCACCGTCACATACACCCTCCTCTGTCCGGGACAGACGCCCAGCACCAAGAGGAAACGAGTCCAGCGCGTAAAGCTGTGCCGCTGCACTACTATCGATATGGATTAGCCACAAACTAAAACATGCTGGCCAGTAATATTGTCTTCTGTGAAAAATATAGAAGGGGGAGTCTATTTTGCTTAAAAGGCGCATAAGTTGGAATAGAAAAGTGAGGAGCATGCTTGAGCCTTTTTGGGGGGAGAGACAGTTGACCACTAAATCTGCTAAAAGACAGTACACACTGCTAAGTGGGAGATTCAAGTGTCACGTTCTGTATAAGGTGATAATTTGACCTGCAAATACAACTTTACCACACAATGACCAAACATCTGCCAATTATCAGTCGCTGCTTGCAGTTTTGTGAGTGTAAACAGACTTGGATGTGTTGGCACATGCATTTGCAGACAGGAAGTTTTAGGCCAATGCGAACCGTTGAGGTGCAGGCTGGTTTGCGGCAGTCCAGTGACAAAATTTGTCCAAACAAACAAACAAAAAACCCAACAAGCTAATGGATGTGCAAAAATATAAGATGACTTCAGAGGTTGCATTGTTTCCACTGTGTGGGACATGGAGCTGAAGGTTTTAGAGACATACACTTTTATACATGCACTGCTAAAAGCCACTTGATTTCATGGCTGTGCATAATTTGTGTATCATTCATTGTAATGGCACTTGTAAATAAAACTGCATTCAAGCTATTGCATCACAGTTTTCTATGAGCAATGATTTTATTTGTGGAAAAATATTGTAAAAGATTTGGTTTTACATTTTAGATTTGATGCAAAAATGTATCTGTCTATACACAGTTGAAGCTATTACTTATGTCTATATATTGCACAGAAGATTTTTTTTAATATTTAAAACTTAAATATATGTTAGATTACAAGTTATAATATGGTTATAATATAAATCTTCCACTTAACAAATACAAGTAAATACAAGTAAATAAATAAACTACATTTTTCAAGGACCATGCATGTTTGGTACCCTTGCTCACATCCTGTTGGATCCAGCTTTGTGAGGACATTATCCGGTGGTTAGAATGATTTGGATTGGAACAATTTTTTTTGGTTTCTTTAAGTTGAAGATATGCTGGCTTCTTTTTGACGCAGTCGCTCTTTCTGTTGGGAGCAAATTTAGACTGGACTTAAATAAGAAAAGAAGACATTTCCAAAAAGATTTTCTATTAAGTCAATAAAAGCAGCAATGCTAAAAAAAAGTAACTTTGCAAGAGAATTCCTGAGTTGGTATGAGTTGATCTGTTTTTCACATTTAAGGCCTAATTCCACAAATGTCATCTAAGGCAAATCTTTTTGCTTCCTCAGTAAATCAACTGATTCCAGTCTTACCAGGCTGCTGGGGTTGGTCTTTCTCGTCTCCACCTTCTTCTCTCCGGTAATCCTCTTCACTGACTGCTGAGCCTCTTTTAACCTGCAAAGTGAAGCATTTAGTAAATGAAAACACTCCAGAGAACCACAATGAGGCCAAGCTATTCTATAAATATGCAGCAAAAAGTAAAGTAGAGAAATAGAAATGTGCAAAATACTCTTTAAGCCTGCAGTTACAGATGCACCTATATGTTGGATGAACACTGATGCCAGCTAATATATAAACAATATCACCTTTACTGATGTCACTGCGAGATATTTGCCTTTTGTGTCAGATTAATGTTGGACTGGTTAAATGTTAAAAAAGACTAATAAAGAGCTAAAAGGATTCATAATAGTTTTCTAATACCAGATATAATTCTTATGTTTCATTCTTATGTTGCAATAATTAAGTGAAGACAAACACATTGTTTTCCCACACAGGGTATCGATAAGTTCTTTATTAGAGGATTACATTTCTTTAGTTTTTAATTTAGTGATTCCCCTTGAGGTGGTTTTTACTGTTTACAAAGGGTGACACACACACACACACATACACACACACACACACAGCTATTACTTACCTCTCTTTAGAGATATTCTTGTTCTCCCTTTTCCACCTGGTCTTGAAGTCGGCAGAAAACTCAAACCAGAACATGAAGAAATAGCCAGCTGTCACCTCCGTCTCCCCCGTCTTAGGCTTTAGTCCAAAGTACAGGATCAAGTCCTCGAAACTGAAAACAAGTATTTAAAAAAAATCAAGATCAAAATTTAATTTTATCTTATTGTTTGTGTCTCCTCTCATCTAAAAACATAACCCAGGTCCTCTGCTTTGTCCTCCTCAGCACTTTGTTTCAGTTGATCACTGTAATACCTGTTATTACACTTCTATAACTTTAACAGACTTTTACCATTTAGTTGGTATGATGTTTGGCCTGTTACTACGAAAATATTTATAGACATGAAAAAAAGACAAAAAGAGATATAATAACAAAGAGTCACAACGTAGCTAAAAGAAATGGAAAACAACGGGAATAACTAAAACGGAAAAAAAAAAAAGAGTTGCAAGATAATAAAAATAAAAAAGGAGGGAAAATGGGAAAGTGATGAAAATAGACACAATGTTATGAATGGATGAACTGCAAATAGCTCTAGGAGCCAAATTCAGGTAGAGACCTGCATGCTGCACATGAATGAACAACTTAATTTTCCTACCTTTTTCGTACAGTCATCATCTGATAAGAAGCTTCAGCGTGCTCTTTTCGTGCTGTTAAAAAAATGTGCAGGTAAAAAGTTTAGTTTTTGCAAGTCTTTCCAAAAAAAAAAAAAAAAAAAACAGTATAATTTTAAACTCTATGGAAAGTCTGTGAATCTAATTATTCATAGTTACACAATAAGATCCTCTTGTATGATGATGACCTTGTCTAATGGAGCCAGACAACCATTTGGTCTTAAAACACCAATTATGCAGTCAATGGAGCCATTCTTGCTATTATGCCATTATGTCAAATAACAGGTAGGCTACTTGTTATCTGTGTCTGTCTCTCTGTACTGTTTTGGAAGTCTCCTTCAGACCCAGAACAATTAAAAAAAAATCAATTTTAAAAAGCTACAGAAATTACCCACTAATGAAATACTTTTGTAAATAAAGACACGCCCTCTCATAAAACCCAAATTCCAGTTCTTGTTTGAAGACTTTTTTAAAGTCTTGTGGTTTAATTCACATCTATATTTATCTAAGAGGAAGAGAATGCAGGAGGATAAACTTCAAATCTTTGAACAAAAGACAAAGTCTTGGAAAAAGATCCTGCATGCAGTCCAATTGTCTGGTGTAGTTTTAGAACAAATAAAACAAATGGGAGGCAATAGACAAAAGATGATGATCTGAATAGGTAGCTCTCTTAAAGACACTGATTTTGAAGCTTGATTGTGATACCTTTGTCACTGGGTGGGGAGGAAAAAAGATGACGCTCACAAGAAGAATTATTAAGTATTCACTGAATACTCAAATGTGAAATGGGTCACTATAAACATTTTGCACAACATGGAATTCCTCGGCTCATAAGAGTTAACTGTTTTTTGCAGTGAAAGGGCTCCATAGAAGGCCCAGTGCCTGTGTGTCTCAGCCATTGCCAAATCTGTCTGATCCCTATCTGAGTGTCTAGGCTGTACTCTGAATTCATTCTGTCTCCCTCACATACAAATACCAAAGACACTCCATTGGTAATTTTCAGGCCACTAAAGACACAAAGACTACATTTATAAGAGGCAAGGAAAGACATGTCTTGATTGAATGACAAATTATTTAAAAAAAAAAAAATGAATCAACAGCAAACAGAAAACAGGTACAAAGATATCTCTTTGAAGCAATGACTCTTGCTTTTCTATGAGGGCTGGGGGGACTTTTACATGTCTGTCGACGGTATGGCTATCTAATAATCTGCTCATGAGTAGGGGTTATGGGGAAATAATTGAGGATAATTAAGAATGTGAAGAAGAGCAGTCAGTTTTTTAAGTGCAAGCAGGCAATTACATGTTAATTGCAGTAGAAGCTGCACGGAGCTTGGAGGATATTCAAAACAACAAAAATCTGTCTTTCAAAAGATTTTAATGCTTTTAAAACTGAGCTCATAATGTCAAATATTCAGCGTGTATGTGACTGTACTTCTCAATCATATTTCAAAAGATGTGCGCAACATTTAATTTCCTTGCTGGAATAATCATTACAAAAAAATGTCATGGGAAACAAAAACTAAGTAGACTCCATAATTCAATAGCTTGTAGCACCAACTTTAGCAACAGTAACTAGAAGTCTCATTCTCTTAATGATAAAGTTATATAGAGGAATTCTGGCCCACACTTCTTTACAACACTGTTTCTGTTGATTGAGCCTTGTGGGCATTTGTTTATTTGAATGTGTCTCGTTTTCTCTTACAGCTGATGTGACTGCTGTTTGTGCTGTCTTTGCTTTCTGCCACATGCTGCACTGTGCATTGTGACCAAACATCTCCACTTTGGTCTCATCTGTCCAAAGGACATTGTTCCAGAGGTCTTGGGTTTTGCCCAACCCTGGGAAGATTATAGCAGGGTGTCAACACGCCTGAATGACCCAGTCGAGGAAACTACCAGAACCTCTACTTTTATAGGGATCAATTAATCAAGCACCTTTTATTCGCTGTATCTGGCTACTAAATACCTTCTTAATTCCTGTGGAAGCACTGTGGGCGCACTCTTTTTTTTTAATATGACTGTATCTCATGGATGTTTTTACATAACACATTAAGTGAATGGTAACTCCTCACCACTGAGCACAAAAGCCTCCATCTTGTCTTTAAATGGCTGCAGGTATTCTTCAGGAGAGTCAGAGCAAACCTTCTGTACGTCTTTCTCGCACCCTGAAAAGAACACAATGGTTACAAAATTCAGGAAGCATTACACTTTCAATATTTAGACAAAATTTTAGATAAGAGCCTGAAGAAGATTGAAGCTATGAAGAACATTTCTTTCTTCTTCTCTTTGTAACAATTTACGGCTTGTTTAAAATGACCATAAGAAGAGAATAAGACAACAAACACGTTTAAAGGTGACCTTTATGCCACCATCTTTTGTCTGAAACCAGAAGATGCTCAGATGCATTCCAGATTTGTAATTTCAGCCTTAAAAAACTATCCTATGTTTGTTTATTTGCTTCCAAGTTTAAATATTGGACACACTCGTCTGAATTGGCAGTATTGTAAAACTACTTTCCACCTCATTTTGTGTCATTACTGTTTTAGCTGTATGTAAGAAAATTCTCAGTGCTACAATTATTTGACATGGTCAATAATCAACAACAGAATACTTTACAAAGACATAAAATGGATTTATAGAACCAGCAGTTAAATCTGATAAAATGCCTTTTTTACCCCAACATCTACAACAACCTCAGCTATTGCTCAATTCTCCCACAGATTTAATTGAAGGATTCTTCAAGTGTCATGTCTTTTCTTTATAAGGTCTCTGTCAGACGTGCAGATTCACATAGAGAAGGACGAGCTCTGGGTTGAACTAGGTCCACCTGTACCCCAGCGTGAGGTTATCTACGCCGCTTCCTCTTCAGATATCACTAGTTGAGATCCAGAGATGGCGACTGCTCCTCTCTCTCTCCCTTTTCCTCTTCCAGTCTGCGGCTCCACGTTGCTGTGTCCAATCAGTGGATCACAGGAGCCAGTCTGTGGAGCCAGTCATAATATAGGCTGAACCAACCCCACCCTCCACCCCGATGCTCGATCAACATCTTTCAGATAAGATTACAAAAGAATACTGTTTTCATTCGGGTTTGTGTAAACTGTAGAGGCGCGTATCTCCCTCTCTTTGCATTGTGTGGGGAGCCTTTCTTTCTTCTGTCTGCCTTTTGGCCCTGACAGACGTTTGCTTATTTCAGACTGAAGAGAGTTATGGACCTTCTTGTAAATATAGCTGACTTCAGATGTGAGACTGCAATTACACAAACTGCACTGAAACAATGATTTTGATTCATAGTGAGGGATAAATGCTTTCTTAAGGAGGTTCACAGTATTTTGTGATGATATGCTAGAATTATTCATCTCTCAAATTACACCATTACTTCTGTCAGTAGGGGGGTAGTTTATATAGGACTGGTTCAAGTGACATTTTTAACAGTGTTCTTTACTTTGGAACAAGACAAGCAAATATGAAATTTGAAGATTGTCCTTGTTTTATCCTTCCTTTTATCTTATTTATTTGAGCTAAGGTCTTAAAGTGATGGTTCCACTGCCATTGCTCACAAAACAAGACAACACTAGTAGCTACACCTACAGCTTTGTGAGTACTTTGTGCTAGATGTATTGAGGTTTTGCAAACACATGATTTTATCTTTTCTCCACAATTCTGGACAAGTCACTGGTGAATATAGCCACAGTCACACAGGCTACTGGCAATGAGCGGAAAGTCCTTGACCAGTTGGCAAGTGGTTGCTGGAGGCTGATGGCACTAGCCTGGAAATTGTTTGCTAAAGACCAGGTAAAAAAGACCCACAGACCTGTCAGTGACCTTCTGGCAACACGTGTCACTGAGTGTGTATTTCCTGTCCAAGGCAAAAACCTTCTTTAGATAGTTTTGATTGCTAGTAGTAGCAACTAGTGGTAATTTAATTCAATTGTATTCCTATCACACCACATTAGAACATCATCTTTTATATTGTAAAGTAAAGACCCCACAGTAATATAGAAAAAAATGCCTACTATCAAATGACCCTCTAAGAGCAGGCAATTGGCAACAGTGGGAAGGAAAAACTCCTATTTCACAGGAAGAAAACTCGAGCAGACATCTGCCGTGATTGGTTGCCCACAGTTTGCAATTTACCTTGAAACACTCACCGTTCTCCAAGCAGCAGTGAAACTATAAAAACTGGAAACCGAGAACATTTACTTTCAAAATAAAAGTGGCACATGCTTTTGTTGGTGCAGCAGCCTCTTTATGACAGATTTCACAAAACAACTGCCAGCAACCTACAGCAACCAGTCCGGGAATATTCTTTTCCCCCTCGCAGCCAGTGGTTGTATCATGTCAAACATCATGGATAACTCTTGATCACTGTGTGCATGGCATATACAAGTATATAAGCACTAAGCCAAAAAAAAAAAAATCGTAATTTGATATAATAAACTGTGTGGAGAATATAAAAAGGTATACCAAATACAGCAATAACCAATCAGACAGTTGTTGAGTTGTTATTCAGGAAAACCAAGAAATCACCAGAGTTGAGAAATCACCTAGGACCATGAATGCTTGTGCAAAAATATATGCATCTACCTGTAGGTGAAATAGCATGGACCAGCACAGACACAGACTGCTAACATGGCTGAAACCATGACTGATATATAATAAAAAACAACTAAACAAAAAGAAAAAACCCTTTTGCACTCTGTGCAAAAGGGTTTGAACTCTGTGGCTCAATAAACTACTTTTATTGCCACTGTAACAGACACAAGAAAATTTAAGGCCCAAGAAGGGTACGCAATGTGTAGTTTTAAAAACCCAACTACAGATATAAATCCAAATCTGCATAGCTAGTTAACTTTATTAATAATTTGAATGAACTTCCCAGTGAATAACCCATGTAAATGCAATATAGTCTCAACATGGATGACTTAAGAGAAGCTTAACCACAACAAACAGAAAGATTTCATACCAGCCAAACAGAAAACAGAGGGAGAGTGACGAATGACAAAAGCAAAGCCTCAAACCAGGCATGAGGGCAGTTCAAACAGGCAGAACAAAAGGAACCTGCGACAGGCAAACCAGATTGCACAGTGGTTTGGGTAGACAGTGCGATAAGACAAAGCTGTGTTGAGAGGTAAAGAAAGCTATCTGTGGCACACATCTGGGGGCCACACTGGAGCCCAGGTGATACAGGTTAAGGATCCGTGCATTTCTGCAAAGATACCAGAGATACTAGGGGTCTGGAGATTACATAAGTGGGAAGCTACGGTCTCCCTGCACTGGCGACAGGGGCACAAAGCAACAACGATGGGAGATCTGATGGGCTAAGGATTAGAAGCTGGATCTGAAAGGCGCCAGGCCAGTATCAGCAGCAAGACTCCTGCTAGTCTCAGAATACATGCACATAAACACGCATTCAACAAAATGCATGCAAAATCACATGCATACGTAGGGACACAACAATGAACTCACTCATAATCATACTCATGCACAGTAAGCATTGTCCTCAGAATGACTTTTAACTGAGCGGCATGCTGAATGGCGTCATATGCGCACACTTAGGCAGTGAAAGGAACACGCAAAAAAGGATTAGAAAGACAAGAGGAAGTCTTTTGTTCTTGAGCTTTCACTAACATGAGTTTGCTCACAGAGGAAAGCCGTTGGCCTTAAGTATAAACAGCTACTCAATGGCTGGGGCCAGTGATGGGAAACCAGGGTAGTGAAGGTGGGTGGGGGATGTCTGTGGAAAAACGATGCCAGACTGAGCCAAAGTTTGGTCTGTGGGAACCTCTGGAAAGTATCAGAAAATCACACTGACAGAGTTACACTGGCTGATTTTTTCCAAACAAAAGCACACAACAAAATGACCACAAGTTGAGAATACTCCTGGTCACCCCAGTCACATGGACGCTTGCCATCTGTCTGGAATGTGTGCAACCATCTAATAATATTAACCGAGAAAAGGGGACTGAGTCTGTTTGTTATTCTTCTTTTCAAAAACTCAGAGAACAGGAGATGGTATGGTAACGTCACGTACTTGTCAGATCTCGTCCAAGATGTCTCAGATCTCTGTCGAGGTCAACAAACTTGACCTGCGCTGCCAGGAAGATGTCCTGCGGTTCAGGAAGAGGGAACATACTCTTCTCCGTGCCTGCATTCTGGAAGGTGAAAACATTTTAGAAATGCATTACATCTGTGGATGCAGTGTGTGTGATGCTGAGTTAGGTGATTCCCAGCTGAAGGACGAGTCCAAACCTGTGTTTTATTGTCTAATATAGTCAATTTTCATAAGAATACAACACAAACACATCAATTTCTATGAAGGTAGTTCCATTTTAAACATGCTAATCTACAATAAGGGCAGCTGTGGCTCAGGAGATAGAGGAGGTTATCCACCAGCTGGAAGGTCATGCATGCTGAAGCACCCATGGGCAAGATACTGAACCCTTAGCACTGTATGAATGTGTGTGTGGTGTGCTTTGAGTGGTCATTGTGTTTGTGTATTGTATGTACGGTCGGCAAGGTCTGTCATCTCGGTTGTGGGCAACTGCAACTGACAAATAAAGGCTATCTCATCATCATCATCATCATTTAGGCTACTCCATTTATTTTTTCAATTGCATATTTTTTTTAAAGTACCTTGTCCACATTGTGCAAGTAATATGACACCACGTAATCCACCAGGCTGATGCGATTGTCCTGAGAAGAAATGGAAGGACAACATGAAAGCTGGATGAACGATGAATGTAATGGACTCTTTTACCTAGAGTTTGGTCTCAAGCTACACATTCTAGCTCTGTCATTGGCAGATGCTGCTGAGGTTAAGCTTATGAGTTCAAATCTTCTTCTTTGTTCTGTTCTTTTAAGTACAATACCAAATATTCTCCCAGGAACAGATGCTTTATCTGAACACATACACAAATATGGCAACAGAGCACTCCCTTTTAAAAGGTATCAGGAGTTGGGGTTTCAGTAAATGCAACAAACAAATTTCTATTACTCTTAATTTAAATTTCTTTCAGTAATAAGTATTGTTTTTCACACACCCTGATTTCACTGGCTTTTGAAGCCAAATCCTTGCCCTTCTGCCCACACTTATCACTGTGATAGACGATAATAACGGCACTTTATCGAATCAAGTCTGACTATTCTACTTTCCCCTCCACCTATACCACTGCAGGTTCTTTATTATGATGTATTTCACACCTACTTTCCCTCATCCTCGTGTTAGATTACAATCTCAGGCCTAACACTTTGCACACTTCCTGTGCTCTGTTCTGAAAGGCAGGCAAAAGAGCCACAGTGACTCCGCAGGTATCAAGGCCTTACCCTGCTCTTTACATCTTTGAGTTTTGGAAGGATTTCCAGGCCAAAGCCGTCAGCCTGGCCTCTAATCCTGCTTCCTCCATTCATGTGGTTCCCAAGAGCCAACACCAGTCCCATCACCTTCCTGACACTGTCGCTCTCCAGCAGAGCCTAGATAATCAACAGTTTTTTTCAATACTGGAGTTCACGCCACTCCATGTCACATTATTTACTGGCCACCTTGAATGAATAACTGGGTTTTCTGTCATGTGCTTAGCTCACCTTACAGACATGGAAGACAGTGTTGAGCTTGCGTTGAATCGAGGCGATCCCATCGATGAAGGCCGACTGGAAGATGACACAGCGAGCTCTCCCTGCGAAGTCTGGAATCTGAGATAGTTCATACAGGAACCTGGAGCACAATCACATAAACACTGAGAGTCCACAATGCAATGACATTACCCATCCCTGTTAGAACTGTCAAATCAGAGGGTCTGGTATTTGTCTATTTAGTCCACAAATACAATCAATTACTGCTGTGCTCTCTAAACATCTGCTGAAGGCACTCACTGCTCAGGTTTGTCCAGCAGCTTAACATCCTCTTCTTCTGACGTCTCGTAGTGTTTCCTGATCCTCTCCAGCTCCTCCGGCAGTCCTCTCTGCCAAATTGATAGCAACTTCTAAATTAAAGGTTCATCGTTGTACACAATTGTCTCACACAATTACGTGCCTAAATGCGTACATTTTCATACAGCGCTTCAATGGTCTCCAGGTCCACCACAGAGTGATCCACTGTCAGTACAGCTAGAAGTGAAAATACACAGAAAAGGGAGAGAGATTTTAAAAAAAAGCTGTGATTCATATATTGTCAGATCCTATATAGAACCTATATATATATAAAAAAAAAACTGCCACTAGCAAGAAAATAGAAATAACATGTCTATATGGTTAGAAACTGATCAGAAGGCAGTATACTGCAAAGGAAGAAATGCTTACTAGGCTTCATTCACAATATTTCTCCTAGTATTGATCATTTATTGCTGAAACAATAGTGATCGTGCATTTTGACTCATGTCAAAGTTCAGCGGACAAGAGTAGAGAAATTTATCATAGTACTCACATTTTAACACACTCAACCAGACAAATTCTAAAGATCGTGAAGGGAAGTGACAACGCTTTTCTAAAGTTGCTCTTCTGTATCAATGACGGATAATCAATAAATATGATATCATAAACGTATCCATGGAAATACAAAAAAATAAAATGCATTGACAAAAAATTGGCTTTCATGCTCCTCTTCCTGAAAGACACAGTCTACTGTTTGCTCCAAAGATTTTTCAGTTTTGGATTAGAAATGCATATTGCCCGTCATGCTGACATTGTGGTGAGCGTTTGGGCCACTAATCCTGCTTCAAATTCACCCCCAGCTCATATTCAGAGTGAAATACAGGGTACATTCTCTGTGACGCCGCGATTAAAGTGCAACCAAGGTTTATGTTCAGGGAGCTGTGGTTACCTGAATGTTTACTGCAGGTTCAAATTCTCAGACTGGCTGGGAAACCCAGCTAGTTTAGTGACCTACTGTAATCTATCTCTCATGCGATGGAAAAGATGATTACATGCACTTTGAGGATTTAACAGAGATGAGAATCTAAACGCTGTTCCAGAGGCTTTCCACCACAAGACGGTAAAAATTTGAAGATATATTTATTTATTTTGTTAACCTTTATTTATCTCAGAGAAAGGACTTGTGAAATTTAAAATCCCTTACGCAAGATTGTTCATGACAGGCAGCAGCTCAATCAGCTTTGTATATTTGACACACAGTATCCAATGTGTGTAAGCACCTATCCTTTATAAGCAAAATATACTTTAAATAATACGCCTGTTACATGTTTTACATTTTGACTGGTTATTGCATTTTGCCATCTTTTATATTTTACTAGAAAACTGTTTTGATTTTATTGTTATTTTACAGTTCTGCCTAAAAGTCTTGAGTCACCCTTCATTTCTTTATATTTGGCTCAGAAAATGTGAAAAATAGGTGCAGCGATTCTCTAACAAGAATTCCCATTGATAGCTGGCAGGCAATGTCACTGGTGGGACAATGCGTGGATGGCCAGTCCGGGCTCTGAGGAGGCCAATCCATGACTGATAGTGCTGTATTGTGTGCTTCTATTCAGTTATACTTTTACTGCACTGGCAGTTTGCTTGGGATCATTGTCATGCTGAACATGAAACCATTACCAATCAGATGCTTTCCAGTTGGCATTGCAAGTTCATGAGCACGACAATTCTGTTAAAAACAATGAAATTCAATTCACCTTTTTTTTAATTGGATTATGATAGAGTCCAGTTTTGCCTGTTATCAGTGTAGAAACAAAACGTTGTTTCCTTGCAGTACAATGAAGGAGTGAAATGACCTCACCTTGCTGAATATCTTTCATCTCAAGGTGGAGGCTTGATATGAGGATGCCCACAGCCTGAGAGCGTTTACCATCCAACAGTTTAATGATCTAAAACAAACACAAACATGGTTACCATGACCACCTTACCAGTAGAAACCATTAGTGAGTCCTGAATAGAGAGCCTAGCATTTCATACCAGCGTTTCCATTTTCTCTTGTTTAAATGCTTCACTTCCTTCTTATATTTTACTAATGTCACTTGGTTTGTATTTTCCTCTTGCTTTAAAATCATAGTATTAGGAGCCATGATGTGGAGGAGTCTGTAAACCATAATGCATTACCCCCCTCTAGTGGACACATGCCATTAAGTATTGCAGCCTACATTTTCTTTAGCAATAGCTAAGGGATTCACAAGATGAATAAATGATAACATGATGACAGAAGTTAATTTCTTACCTTCTTAGGCTTTGCTTTTTTCTCATAAGTCTCTGACAGAGGTTTCCTCTTTGTCTGTGTGGTGGTTTTAGCAAAGAGATCTTCAAACTCACTGGCATCAATTAAGTTTGGCTCTTCCAGAATATTCCATAATGTGTTGTTACTGCAGGAGAGAGCAAAACAGTCTGTTTAAGAAATGAAGAAAAACACAACAAAAACATCAAGTTGCTGATATGAGGCCATCTAAGCAATGAAGCAGGATTCATTCATTTATTATGATTCAATATAAAAATCCAGTCAGTATTTATGAGGTCCTATTAAGAGGTTTAGTGGAATAGTTGTTTGTTTGTTTTAAATCAATCTGCAAACAAGATTATTTTTCAGTCACTGTCAACAGTTTTTTGAATCTCTCCCACAAAGGATTAAGGCAAGTGGTTCAACCCACCAGCAACCCAATGAAGCAGCTAGTGAGTGCATTAACCCCTTTGTAATCATTATAAAGCACTTTATAATGCTTTAATCTGCATAGCCATATCAAATAATTCATCAGTGACTTGCCACTTGGCCCAGAAAAGGTCCCCTATTCTAAACCTGTCTCATCTTTGAACCTCCGTTATAGTACACTTACAGTTGAGAGATTGCATTCTTGAGTAATGGGTTAAGAGGTGGGTCATAAGATGCACAAAGACATGTAGAAGAATGCCATTCACAAACATCCATACAACACTTTGTTCTTTGCCTCTAAAGGTTTTCCAGTTATCACACACTACAAGAGAACAGCCACTGTTTGGGATTTAGTGTCCTTCTACACGCTAAATAAAGAGGGACATAAGCACTGATCACCGAACTTACATGACTGCTTCGAATAGGCAAATCGTTAATGCAACCGTGCGCACTTCCTTTTATTTGGTGAAAACGCAACACTCCTTCGAGCCGGATTCGAACCAGCGACCTAAGGATTTCCACTAGATACACCTACAGTCCTCCGCTCTACCAACTGAGCTATCGAAGGGTGATGAGGGCTAGGACGGCTCTTTCTCTCGAAAACTGCAGTTAGACAATAAAATGATGTAAACTGATAAAACATTGCAACATTTGGACCTCACTCAGTACTCCTTCACTTTCTCCAGAGCATGATGATTCTGGCTGTTTGCAACTTGTGGAGTCAACCCAGGTAATTTGATCGTGTTTTACAGCAGCTACAGACAGGCTGGATGTCCGCTCCCGTTGATCGTACCTCACCCACAATTCCGTTTATAACGTGGCCGGCCAATAATTTCCAGCCGTGAGGAGGAAACGGCAGTAAAACGTATCAGTTTCAGACTGCTCAGGGACTGTGCAGATCAGCTCTGTGGGCTGATTATGACATAAAACTCATGGCCTGTTCTCAGATCTGCTGTTTTGCCTGGGTGGTCTTGTCTATAAAAGTTGGCCACGGAGTTTTGTGTATGGGGGTTTCTCCTGAATAGTCTTCCTACAGTGTTTTGCTTACTGCGTAAGCTCACTGAGCTACCTGCTTGTAAAGTTGCCGGGGTGGACCAGTTAGATGTGGGGAGAGTTGTCCTGGGAGCTTGGGCTGCCATAAGATTTGCAGTTCTGCCATATTCTGTATATAGAGGGATTTTTGTGCGAGAGCTGTTGTGGGTGAAATTGGTGCCACACATTTCAGGTGGCAGGCAGCCTGTCGTAAATGTTTAAGGAGTACAGACTTTCAATATGCTCTTACATACTTCTTGAGTGGACCTACTTGTTGTCCTGGATCTGGATTCTGTTCCAGTAAAGAGGCTTCATGGGTCGGGAAGGCTCCACTGCCGGTTTTCTGGGAGGTTTATCAACTCCAAGACCTAATGCTGGAGGAGGTGGAGGGAGTGATAATCCTGGCGTGGGTGGAGGAGGTGGAGGTGGGGGTAGTGGAGGGTCATTTGATGGCTGCATGTAGTTAATAGGTGGAGATGAACATGGTGGAGGTAGTGGAGGTGGAGGAGGAGGAGGAGAAGGAAAAACATCTGATTTAGCTGGTGATGCTGTCTGAGAAGGAGCTGGTGGTTGTTTTGAGCTACAAGGAGTTACAAGTGAAGAGGAGGAGGACAGTGTGCCTTCGATCTTGCTGATGGATGCAAGGTCCAACTTTTTGGGGGCCACCTTCTGCTGCTGAGAGCATGTACAGGTTCTCCCGGAACCTTCTTCATCCTGAGCAGTTTTGACAAATGTCTCCCGGTCGGTTTGAATGCAGACGGTGCGAAATGATTTGTGCAAAAAGTCATCTGCTGTAGACACAGCCATATCTTTATGTTCCCCTTGACAGTGGGTCCCAACCTGGGAGAGTTTGTTCTGCAGCTCAGCAAGACTGAACTCCAGACGTGCAACATTTTCATCCTTTTCCAACCTCAGTCTGGAGAGTTCCTGATCATAGTCCTCCTGAAATAAATAATGTTGTCCAATTATTAATTAATAAACCTTAGTGATGATCATAATGATATCATTCACATTGATAAATCTAAAGCCAGCTCTGCAAGGCTGAACTTGAGCATACATGAGGGATCATCAGTCTCTGAAGCAAAATTCAGAGAAACCTGTTTAGGTCATTTACCATCATCACCAAGATTTATGAGACTCCAACTAAAATTTGTTTACATATTCCACTGAAAATGTCGCAAAATACAAAAATCTTATCAGTCATATGGCCTCAGAGCGCAATATGTTTTTGTGATAGTTCACATATTTACAGAGTCGCTGACAAACATTGAAAGGATTTTGTAGCTACCATCATTTAATTAAAAACAAATGTGCATTTGAGTCTATGATATATATATATATATATATACTCTCTCACTTTTAACAGAATAAAAGAGAACATTATCTATACATATTTTTCCAAGATGTAAAAACTGAAGTATCTTTTAAAATGTTGAAAAACAAGCGTGTATCTATGACTCAGCCCAAACTGGGACTGAACCAGGCAATGAGTGTGGTGGTAATACTGCAATGAAAGACGTTTTATGTTTTTCTTCATGCAGTCATGGAAATTACCGTACAATCCCTCATCCTTACTGACCTTTAACTTCTCCAGCTCCTCTTTGCATTCTCTCTTCAGCTGCAGGAGAGCAGCCTGGTGCTCTGAGAAAAACAGATCCAAACACCATCAAAAAGTCTGTCTTTTTTAGAAAGCTTTATGATTTTAATGCTTTTTCTAGTAAAAGAAAAAAAGTTGTTAATCATCACAAACCTAGTTTGTAAGAGTATTTTTATTCCTGTGAACATAAGTCAGACTAGTGGCTGCTTACAACCCACAAAAGATGAAAACAATGCAACGTGTTACCACATGATGGCAGCAGAGTCCCAACTGTAAACTAGTACAGGCTCGCAGATTATAGAGGCTGGCATCTGTCTAAGCAAACGTTTACAGCATCTGCTGTTAAATGACTGAGATAGTAAAAGGGCAGTTAGAAAGTATATTTACTGTAGGCTTCCTCACTGTGTCTACAGGGAGTGTATATCAAGGGATATGGGCGTGTACACATGGTTTTGTCCCTGTTCAAACAGTGTTTGATAATCTTACTGATTACTGTGAAGTGGATAAGAATTAACAAAGAAATTTTATCAACTCATCCATTAAAATACAAAAGCAAGCAGGAGTAGATTATGCCTTTAAAAATGCAAGTAAACTGTGATTTATAATCACAAACTATTCAGCAATTTTAGCCCCTCCACCCCCGAAAAGACTACGGTGAGAGTACAGTGTGTAATTAAAGGACTGCTTTTACAGATGGAGTCAGACCGTAGATGTTTACACATTTGCGGGTGGAGTTCTGTTTACTTTTGCAATCGAACTTGACATTACATCCACCACACTGTAAAGTAGCTAGACACTGCTTCTCTGTCATGCATATTCAATGTGTAGAATTTCACATAATAATAGTATATCTATTTAGATTTTATTCTCTTTTTACTGTGAGGTGAATACCTTTCCTTAACAGTCTAACCAGCGTACAGTCACAGGAGGCTAAAGCTTGTCTATTCCATGGCAAAGAGGGGGTATGCTCACCCTGACAACCACAGAAACTTTTACAAAGCCGACTGAGAAACACCAGTTATTCCAACATGCATTGTTTCTGTGGGAGGAAAGTAGAGTCCTTGAAGAAAACCCACACAGGCAGAGGAGAACATGCAAACTGCACATGGAAAGGCCCCAGCCGAACAGGAGTAGCGCTATAAACCAATCCATAATAATCACTTCATTAAATCCATTTCAGAACCATTACCTTTAACTGCTGCTTCTTCTTTTGACACTAAAGTTCACATCATTCAACATGAAAAAAGAATTAATCATACTTCTATTTTTAAAAAAGCCTTTAAACTGATACCACATTTCCAAAATTCCCTTAAGATGTGTTTTTGTACATATTTGAATTCAAGCAAATTTTATATGCTGTCAAAATGTGACCTGTATACACAAATTGTAAAAAAAAAAAAAAGAAAAAGTGAGGAATGGAGTTTTATTTTTGTTCCTTCTGTTTAATTTTGTTTGACACATACTTCTGAATAACTTATTGGCAGCACGATTAATATGAAGTTATTCATAGTACATATTGATGGAGTTACTTTCTTCAGCAGCATTAGCAAACCGTATGACACTGATAAACTGAAGAATAAACTTAGAAAGTAGACTTGGAGAGGTGTAATGGTAATGTCCCGGGTTGATTTGTGTGGAGTAATGTTTTCATGCCAAGTTATGATATGCATATATTAGTCTGTACCTGCTTCTGTGTACTTCAGCCCAACTTTTTCTTCCTTAAGAGGTGGCCACACCGCTTGTAGACGACCAGGAGTTCGTTCCTCTCCTTCTCCTGGGCTCGATGTCTCTGACTATGAGTGAGAAAATTGACAGGAGATATTATTGATGACAGAATTAATAACAGAAGTTGCAGCTACATTGTAAAAATGACTGATGAATTGTGATTAAAAACACGCACACTGCTCAGAATTGCTTTGTTTTTGATTTTTAGCCTGATTTAATCTTAAAAAGTAACAAAAATCACAGAGAGGACTAATTCATACTTTGTCATCAGGTGGGTCCTTCTCAGGAGTCTTACTTGAGGCTCTCTCAAAAAGTGTTTTAAGTACATCTTTATCATTTCTTATCTTCTTCCTCAGTGCCTCCAGGCCAACTTTATCTCCTGGGTCCTTTTTCAAAGGCTTTGGTGTGAAGAAGGCCTTGAAGGCATCAAAAGCTGCCTCTGCACTGGACATGGAAGGCTTTGTAAGTTCACATGATTCTGAAACCTCTGTATTTTTATTTGTTTCTGGTTCTTTCTTCTCCCTCTCTTGGCTATCTTCACTTCCATTCACCCTTGTTTCATTCCGGTCTCCCTCAGCCTCCAACACCTCCTTCTCATCTCCTCTCTTTTCCTGACTCAGAAAATGAGAGATCTGGTCTAAGATGCTCCCTGGAACTTTGGTGTCCTTCTGCTTCTCTGTGAAATCTTCCCCTCGTCCTCCCACTGGAGATGGCTTAATGTGGGCCATGGTGTCATGCTCTGGTCCAGTGACCCCCTTCCTTAGGACCCTAAGGCTGCTGAAGAGAGCTGGAACCTGGATCTGCTTGTCTGCGGGGGAGCTCGGGGAGAAGGTGGCTCTGCTGAAGGTGGAGTCAGGTGGAGGATTATTAGTTGCAGATTTTATTGTCATCTCTGGCAAATTATCCTTTAGGCTGTGAGGATGGGGGGGTGAGTTGGGAGTCTCTGAATTTGCATCTCTTGTCTCCTCCTCTTCAGCTTTATCCGAGATCTGTTCCAGCTCTTCAAGCGCGGGTCCTGTTCGAGTCACAGTTATCACTACATGTTTACTTTTCAATGGCCCAGTGTTTCCACATATCTGTGGATCAAAATCCATGTCTGAAGTGGAAGTAATTGTGTCAGAATCTTCCTGGCAGTGTTCCCTTTGAGCATTTTCATTGCTATTTTCAGTATCCTCCATCGCACTGATGGATACAACACAATCACCATCAGTATCCATGCAGTCAATTGAAATGTGTTGACAATTTGTCTGCAGAGATTCATTTAAGGCCCATTCATCCAGTGGATTCTGTGATATGTGACAACCCTGTTTGCTGCAGCCATTAACTTTGTGTTCATCTGACAGGTTATTCTGGTCATGATTTGTTGCAAAGCTCTGTTTCTCGAGGCCTTTTTCAGTATTTACAGCCACGCTTTGCTGCTCGGTTACTTTATAATGACTCCTCTCCTCCTCTGTTATGTCTGAGTCATTTCCTTTTTCCCTCAAGCTTGAATTTCCCAGTGAGTTAGAGGTCTTTTCCTCTGCATGAGGCAATATAACATATGACAAAAAATTGCTAGAATGCTCGAGAGCATCTGTAAAGTCCACATCCCCATTTTTCTTCAGATCACCACTGATATCTTCTTGCATCATGTCTTCAGTTTCTCTCCCAGGGAGGTTCCTAAAAATTTCCAGGACGGCTTCGGGCTGCTCCATTTACTGCATGTCACAGGTGAAGTTATCCAGAATATTGCGAGTAGGAAGTGCTAGAGAAACTTGACTGCTCATAGTTAGACTTCAGTGTAGCATGCAGCACTTCTTTACGTGGTTCCGGTATCATGCAGCCTCAGATTATAATCAATAAACAAATGCAAGCAATGTTTGAGTTAATTAAAGTCTTATGCCTGAAAATCCAACCTGTTTTTGTGCCCCTGTTTGTCGAAAAGAAACAAGCATATCCACGCTGTGTTTTAACAGTGCCTTTTTGCCTTTCCAAAGTGCTAATTTTCCAAACCTAAAACTGGAAGTAGTTGTTAGTCACTCAGACTGGCCAATGGCAAGAGAGAAATTCAGTCATGGAAGAAAAAAGGTTTCCAAGCTCAGCTCCATGGCTCTGTGTGGTGGAGTGACTCAGCTCAGCCACATTTGAAGTTAAGTTCCAGCTTCAGCTTCTCATTCGCGCCTCCTTTTCCCTCCGGCTCTTCTGTACCTGCTATAGTAGTTTACAGAGCAGCACCTTGGACATCATCCTGTGGATTGTCACAGAGTAATTGGAAACAGATGGTGTGTCCAGCCGCTGTTTCCGACAACACCCTGACATCCGTGAGCCGTATGGCAAAGGAAGCCACGCAGAACAGATGGAGGAGCACCACACCCAGAGCTGAAGGAGGGTAAATAGGACTGCCAGGGATCACTTGCTAAATGCTTGGCCTGTAAATCCACAGTTACAGGGAGGTCTCTCAATTCCCCTGCAGGTACACAGCAATGCTTGGCTAATCTGGGCATCCCAGCGGGTCTAACCCCACCTACACGGCACTGTTAATCAGCTCATATTGAAACTTGCATACAGGATCAATCGACAGAGAACGTTTGTTTAAAGTTTCGGGAAACGAAAAGTGAAAATAGTGAATTCACTTGAATGTTTTAGTTAGAGTATTTTGAAACTTGATCTATAAATAAAATAGTTGCATAAATTGAATAAATAAGCAGAGGATAGTAAGTAGGTTTGAAATAACATTCAAGTTGGTGACACAGATCCAAACAAAAGAAAGTAATAAGCAGGGAAAGTCACCAAATGGCCATAATTAAATCAGCAAACAAATATGCTGTTAAAATATATGTTTAAAAAAAAGCAAAAACAACAAATTATCTTAAATAAAATGAAAAATTAGGTAGTGGAGTTAATGACCACTATCGTCATACTAATATCTTCACTACTATTAGTACTGGGTAGATTGCTTAACACAAAATATCAAAATAAGAGTCCAAACTTCCTCCTTTGTGTTTGAGTTATTCTTAGCTCTCGGGATCCACCCTTATTTACTTTTAATGTTATCAGAGGCAGCAGGTTAGTGACAAACCTCATCTGTGATAACATCTTTACTGTATCAAATTACACTGTGTACATTTCTCTAATAGTTATCGTACTCCATATGTTTGATGCATGCCTACACACCCTGCAATGAGTTCTTAATAGGGCTATACTAAAGCTTATGAATACTAATAAGGTGGGGTTTTTTGCATTAATTTGGTGAGGGACACTGTGGCCTTTATGTGAGTTTGTATGTTTATGAAACAGGAATGCATCCATAAAATCCTGTGAGATTGCACTAAAAATCATCTAGCTTCATGCAGAACAACTACAGTGTGTGCTGGATTATAAATCTCCAGGCTGTAATATAAATTAGGACTGTACCGATTGCTACAGTTCACTGTGTCCACAACAGAAGGAATAGATAAGATAAGATAAAATACCTTTATTAGTCCCACAAGGGGAAATCAGTTTCAATCACACAACTAAACAAAATATTTAAAGCTTAAATTAAATGACTGCATTGTAGTCCTCTAAATGTATAAAATAGAATCAGTTTCAGCTTTCAAATGGATGCTCAAAACTCACTGAAAATGGTGAACCACTCAAAATCAGCCACTTGGGTTACACACACAGTGACATTAGTGACTCTGCAGTTGGATAAGTCCCAGATAAAGGGTATAAGAAGAGCACATCAATAAACAGACTATTGGCCTGCTTGCAAGTGGCAGTGACAGCTATATATTACTTACTTAATTATATTGTTGCTGAACATATGCATTTGTTTTTCATCCCATGTAAATTACATCTTCAAAGTATTATAGCACCTTCAGTGTGAACAGTTTGGGGGCATTGGGGGGGAATAGATGGAAAGTTCTTTGTGACACATGTGGTGGGAACAACATGTGTAATATGTACAATACCCCATTACAGAAGTAACCCCATGCTAACTTCAGTGATTCTTTCAATTCTTCGTATTCCGTTCGGTAATCTTTTCTTTTAATCTTAAACAGAACACCTGTCTGTCCCAGATGATTTCCTGCCTGTTTCTCTCTGCTTTACTCTTTTCTCTTCATACTGTCAAATAAAGATTCAAAATGCCAAAACAATTAAACAAAACTTCAAATATTTTCAGCAAAGTTAGTCATGCATGCACACAGAAGGAAGGAAGTATTCAATTTATTAGTGCTTATCGTCTCTCCTGCAATGCACGAGTTGCGTTAAATCCCTTCTATTATGCCACTACAGGCAACACAGAGCTCTTTGTAGCCCTGGACTGGCTCATGAGGCTGGGACTTACACAGTTGTGAAGCAAGGACAAGTTCATTGCCATAGTGATGCAGCACTGACTGATGCAGACGGGGACTTATTTCAGGAAGGTTTACAGAGAACAACGGCACTGAAATTAGATTAAGGCATCACAATAACGGCACTTAGACTCTTTGTAACTTTTCACACATGCAGAATGAAGAGTGTGTGCAGTATGTTAAAATTAAATTACGTTCTGGGAAAAACAGCTTTTGTATTCTTACACAATGAGCCATTAATCACAGCAGTTAACCGCACTCTCAATGCAACTGAGGTAAAAATATTTTCCCACTGATTTATTTTTGCTCTTAAATATAGAGCACAGACTGCAAATAATAAAGTATTCTGAGTGTGATTCTGAGCTAGTAGAGCTCCATGCTTACATGCCTCCCTCTCCTAATGCCATATACAGAACACAGCCTCTTGATCCTATAACTGACATACCAGTGCCATTTCTACTTTGCAAGAGTGGCTGCTGTTTTCAACTGCTCCATCACCTCATCATCCACCTTTAGACTCTAAAACTCTGTGCTGTGTTGAGATGAGTTTAGAGCACATACTTTTCATTCTACTCACCCTCAAATCCTGGGGCACAGGTGTGGGTGTGGGTGTGTCAGTGATGTCATCATCGGGGGCAGTGATGCGCAGGAAATCAATGTGTTTGGGTCTGGATGGATCGGAAAGTGACCTGCAGATAGAGAGAGACTCCTCGATCTCCTGCTGCCAGATCTCCTCCTGCCTCTGCAGAGCTTCATCTGGAGAAAAGTTTTTTTTTTTTAAAAGAAGCATGGCCTACCAACTTCTAATATAACTTGTATTAGTTTTGGAAGCAAATTAGGCTGTCTTAGTTTATGGTAGGTCTTTTGATATCAGTCACAGGTAGAGAGCTCATTTTAAACTTTGAAGCCCAACTAATTTTGCACACCACTGGCAAATGCTGCATGTTAAGCTTTAGTGTCACCATGAGGATGTAACAAAGAACTTCAGCTAAGAACTCTTACATTAACCTTTAGCATTTCATAAACAAGACAAAATTACACTCCTGCTCTATGAGGAATAAAGCGCTGATTGATTCTTTATGCAAATTGCAAATTCAACAACCATTAAAAGTAGTCTAGAGAAGAAGAGAAGGTTTTATGCAGCTTCATAATTTGAATTGAAATTTAAAGATGTTCCAGAGTTTCCACAACATGATGAATGCTTATCAGTATATAGCCAAGACTGCCACTCTGAACTGTTTTAATCCCACATTGGTCAATATAATAATGGTTCTCACAGACTTGTGGTCAGGAAAGGCAAAATACCAGATTCAGTAAAAGGCAGCTGTGTGTGTGTGTTTACATTAATTTCCTCCATCAAGGGTGGCGATTAAGCCAGTGATTAAGGAAGTATTCAAATGAGTGAACAGTGAAAACTAACAAATAAAAACCAACATTTAAAATGTTAATTAGAAAATAATCAATCAAATGTACCTAAAGTTAAAAAGTGGGAGTGCTCAGTGCCGAAAAACATTACATTGTCTGATGTATTAATGGAAAATATAATGTGACAGTTTGTATTTAGTTTAGGTGGGGCTGATTTTTATATCAATTATTATATATAACCAGTGTTGGGGA